AGGGGCATGTCCTGAAACTAATAGTTGGTCCATCTTGTGAGACAATGCCTTTACTTGTTGGGTTAACTCTAGGTTTTGCCCGATCTCATAAATACCTCTGGTTTTCGGGGCTCCAACTACCGGCTACTGGACTTGCCAAGCTGCAGAGGCATGGTGAAGGGAATTATCACTTAATCTCTCAAATAGTTGCCATGCCTCGGCATCATTTTTGGACATGAATGTTCCACCACGAGAAGAATCCACCTTTTGGCGATGAGGCTTAATTAAGCCATAGTAAAAGGTCTGAACAAGTTTTCATTCAGGCACTTGGTGGTGGGGACACTGTTGGAGAAGGTCACAAAGTCTTTCCCATGTTTTATGAAATTGTTCTCCATCAATTTGAGCAAAATTGGTGATGGCTTGCCTGAGTTGGTTGGTCTTACTAATGGGAAAGTACTTCAAAAACTTATGTTATAATTGGTCCCAATTTGTGATAGAATTAGCAGGTAAGGAGTTCAACCAGTGTTTGGCTTTGTCCTTCAGTGAAAATGGGAACAATCACAATATTAGAGCCTCATTGGTGAAGTTCTAGATCCTCACTGTAGAGCAAATTTCCAAAAATTCATGCAGATGCTTGTAAGGGTCATTATGAGCTAGTCCATGGAATGATGGAAGCATTTAGATGGTGCTGGACTTAATCTCATAATGAGCAGCAGTGGTGTCTGGTAACTTAATGCAGGATGGTGCTGGACTTAATCTCATAATGAGCAGCAGTGGTGTCTGGTAACTGAATGTAGGATGGTGATGTATATGCAGTGGGTGTGAAGTAATCCTTAAGGGTCCGGTTAGGCCCAATTAGGCCATTCGGGTTCGCCATCTCTATTGGTTTGAAGTATGGATATGGGTATTCAAGCCTAGGAACATAGGAAGAGTCTCTAAATTTCCTAAGAGTCCTTTCTAGTTCAAGGTCCGAATTCCACAATTCAGGGCAACAAGAACGGTGCCCGTGCATACACCACACACACACACACTAAGTTTTGACTCTATGCATTAAGTTATGAAAACAAAATACCAAAGGGAAAAATACGCACTGCTGTTTAATGAAAACGCTTTACTCGTCTTGCGGGTGCTTGACGTGCAGACGTTGTATCCAACCTCCAATTAAGCTCTTTTTTTTTCTTCCGAGCACTTTGGTGTTTTGCTTACGAGTATTTACTTCTTCTTTTTTTTAAAGCACTTCAGTGTTGCGGTTTGTTTTTAAAGCTCGATTGCGCTCCGCTTGCACTTTGGTGATAGCTTTACTTGCAAAAACTATGTACACTTAGCAACACTAAAATATAAAATCCTAAACTAAAAATTAAAATATGAATATAACTTTAAATTAATTAGTTTCGCCAGAAGTCCCCGGCAACGACGCCAAAATTTGATGGGTCGTTTAACACACCAAAAATAAACACAAAACTATACCAAATTCCTTAGAATAATGGTAAGTTCAGGTATCGATCCACAAGGACAAATGAAAAATTAAACTAATTTAATTGTTAAATTCCTAAATTAATTTTGATAAAAAGATTGATGGATATAATGACTAAATGAGAATTAAATGAAATTAAGAAATTAAATTGATAATTAAAATTAGGGTTTGAGATACTAATTTTTGGGAAAATCTTAAGGTAAAGAATTCACCACTAACCACATAAATAAGACTTAACATCGGCCATCAATTGTACTCCGGTTTGAACTGCCCAATATTTTTCACAATTACAAGTTTGAAACATTGATTAAGAAGATTGTTGTGTTCAATGTACAAGCACGAGTCATCTCAAATAGCAGGAGTGTTTGCTCTAAACTATGATAGCAACACGACCCATCTCTCGTAACATGACTCGTCTCGTACTTTGAACACAAACACAGAAAACTAATGTAAGCATTAAACAATCACAGAAAGTAAAACACTTGAAGAGATGAAAAGGAACATAATTATAAACTTTTAAAACATTCATACATTTATTCAAACGGTTTCACTATCAAAGCTTAAGAAAAAAATCCCTTTACATGGCTAGGGTTTCATCAAAATCCTAAAATTAGAAGACTAGCCACTCATGGAAGAGTGGGATGGGAAGGGATGGAAGGGGAAAAAGCCCTCATGAAAGTTGCCTTTGAAGTTTTAGCAATCCTCTCTTCAAACCCTAGCCTCCTTTTCCCTTTCAATATTTTTGAACTTGGCTCTAGTCTCATTTTCTTCTTTTTATTCCCAATAGAAAAGCCCAAAATATTCACGCACACAATCTTAGGTGGGCCACTCAAGCGGTGGTGGGCCGCATGTGCTGTAGAGCTTGGCTGCACGTGCGGTGAGGTGGCTGGCTCGGATTTTTCGCTTCTCGCACAGAGAATATGCTTTCGCGCCATTTTTGATTGAATTTGCATATTTCCTGCCAAATCTGTACAAGTGTACAAAACACATCATCTCCACCAAATAAATAAAATTGAAAGACTATAAATGTAACTTAATTAACCTCAATGTGGTACAATTCCGATTCGTAGCTCGAATCTTGTGGCTCGACAGTGGATTGAATTTGGTTTTCTATCCTCTGTGAGCGTGTGCTTCAATTGAATGAAGTATCAGAGCCAAGCATCATATTTGGCGGCAAAACACTAAAAAAAGAACGAAAAAGAAGAGGAGTCTTGACTGGTATCATTCGTGAGAGGAGCGATGTATCATTCGTAACCTAGCGGCACTATACATTTTCGATCTGGGTTGCTGTTGCTGCCGTGGGTGCCGGAATCTACTGCCGTTGTGTCGTCCATAGTTGAAGAAGAGGAGTCTTGACTGGTATTTTTGTTTCCCTTTTCAGTTCTTTGCTCGTCATTTGAATCTCCTTGTATTGTATTTTTGTTTCCCTTTTCGTTTATATATATGATTCAGTTCAAGTCACTCAAATATATATCATGCCCACAGAAACAGATTCGTTTGGTTGTGACTTGAATCTGTTTGGTGAGTTGGTTCAAGTTCTAAGTGGCTCGGATATATATCATGCCCATTTTCTCTGTTTCTCTGTGCTCATTGATTAAATATTGATTATTTGAGAGTGAGTTGGTTCAAGTTCTAACTTCTGTTTGGTTCAATAATTATTTGAAAATTCAAGTTACAAGGTTGGAAGCCATCTGTAGAAATGGGTAGTGGCTCGGAGATTTTTGAGGCCTCAAGCCAAACAGGAAAATGGGCATTTGGCGATAAGAATTTTTTTTGAGATTTTTTGGCCTAGAAGTTAGAACTAGAGTAGTTTATGGCATATTATGAACCTGAACTACAATTAATGGACCTGAGCCAATGAACCTGAATTAATGTTGTTAATTTCACACGATATGAACCTAAGCAATTAAACTACTCTAGTTAATGAACCTGAACTAGAGTAGTTTATGGCATGCCGAGTGTAACAAGCCCGCGGGGGGGACCTCGCTACAGCTCGGACTCGACTTTTCGTCATGGTTCTAAGTTGGTTCGCAAACCGAGACAAGGCACAGAAGAAGGTTCGGAAGTCCGGAGGCAGGGCTCACGGCCGCGACTCTAAAACTTCTGAACGAGCACACTATGCAACATCACCAAGTGCTCAATCGGTGACGTCTGAGTCTTAAGGTCGGTCAAAAATGGGGTGTCTACACCGAGCTTATCGTGTGACCACTATAAGTTAGCTCAGGTTCTCTTTCTGAATCAGATTCACTTCCAATGTGGAGCACACTGCTCCGTATCATATCAGTCTTTCCGGGCTTACTATTTGAAAGATGAACTCTTTTCCATGTTGGGCTTGCTAACTTCTCCAGTCAAGGTGAGAAGCCATGAAATATGCCAGTAAATCTAACATGTATATTCGCATATATATATTAGATTCATCCAAAATATATCCATAATTTGAAATCAATCTTTTACTTCAAGAAGTATAAGAAAGTTTTCAAATCCTGTAGGTCACATATTTGAACTGTTATATTGAAATTGTACCATTTTCTTGTATAGTATTAGAGAATAATTGTTATGATAAATACAAGAATAGTTTTAATACTTTGCATGTCTCTTTATTTGAATAATTTTCTTGAGATAGAATCTTGTGTCTCCTTATTTGATTCCATAGCATTAGATAAAGATAATTGTTTGTAAGATAATTGTTTTTACTCTAAAATTTTGTATTCTATTTAACTTTGAAGGTACAATGGATATTGATTCGAACAATAATTTTTTCATGGGAGTGACGAAGTTGAAGAAGAAGATAACAGTCTTTCATTTAATGAGTGTGAAGATGACGAAGTTGAAGAAGAAGTTGAAGAACCTAAGAAGGGAATGTCTTTTAGCTCAAAGGAAGAGGTGTACGCATTTTATGCAGAATATGCCAAACACTCGGGATTTGCTATAGCTTATAGATCACAAAATTTAACATGTGATAGGGAGGTTAAGTACTTTGGAATTGAATGTACTAGGGTGCGGAACAGAACAAAAAGATCAGAAATAAATCCCTTGGAACCATCTTTGTCATCAAAAAATGAGTGTAAAGCAAGGGTAAGAGCCAGTCTACAAAAGGATGGAACATATAAGTTAACCACAGTTGTGCTTGAGCACACTCATGATTTGGTTGCTACTAACTCACGGCATTTTGCAATGAATAAGAGGTTACTCCGGTGAAGAGGAGACTAGAAGTTAACGATGCAGTAGGAATTGGGGTGGCTAAGAATTTTCATTCCATAGTTATTGAAGCGGGGGGATATGAGGCATTAACATTTGATGAACAAGATGTAAGGAATTATATTGAGAATGCTAGAAGGTTGAGATTTGGGGTAGGAGGCGCCGAATTAGTTACACATTATTTTCATAAAATGCAACAACAAAATTCAAACTTTTATTCGGCAATTGACCTTGATGAAGATGGTCGCATGCGTAACTTGTTCTGGGCGGATGCAAGGAGTAGACGGCTTACAAAGCATTTGGGGATGTTGTCTCTTTTGACACAACCTATTTGACAAACAAATATGACATGCCATTTGCTCCGTTTGTAGGAGTTAATCACCATGGACAGTCAATTTTGTTCGGTTGTGGGTTGTTAAGTAATGAGAACACGGAGACTTTTGTTTGGCTATTCAAAGAATGGTTAAGTTCCATGTCAGATGTTTCCCCAAAAACGATAATAACTGACCAGTGCAGATCTATGCAAAATGCCATAGAAATTGTCTTCCCAGAGGCTCGGCATCGTTGGTGTTTATGGCATATTATGAAGAAAATTCCCGAGAAATTGAGAGGATATTCACAATATGAGTCCATTAAGGTTGCTTTCAATAATTCAGTTTATGACTCATTCACAATAGATGAATTTGAGGAATACTGGGAAGCAATGATTGAAAATTTCAATTTGAATGATAACGAGTGGTTGGGGATATTACACCGTGAGCGACATAGGTGGATCCCTGCCTATGTTAAAGACATATTTTGGGCTGACATGTCAACTACACAACGAAGTGAGAGTATGAATGCATTCTTTGATGGATATGTGAACTCAAAGACAACGTTGAAGCAATTTGTTGAGCAGTATGACAATGCGTTGAGAAGTAAGGTAGAGAAGGAGACAAAAACAGATTTTAAGTCTCGTAACAAATTATATGATTGTTTAACGGTGTATCGTTTTGAGAAGCAATTTCGTGCAGCTTACACTAATTCCAAATTTAAAGAGGTTCAAGTAGAACTGAAGCGTCTAGTGTATTGTCGTGCAAATCTTATCAAACAAGAGGGAGCAGTTTGTACCTATCATGTGAGGGAGGCTATTGTTGTGGGTGATGGGATGAAGAAAGTGGAATTTGTTGTGTACTTTAATTTAACTAAATGTGAGCTCCAATGTATGTATCGGTTGTTTGAGTTTAGAGGTATTATGTGTGCACATTCACTTTCTGTGCTCATTGAGAGATCCATATATGAGGTGCCAACTAAATACATTGTTTCGAGATAGAGAAAAGACTTGGAAAGAGGCTACACATGCATTCCAACCACATATACTAACTTTGGCTCTTCTCTACATCCAAAGTTGCATGATAAGTATCACAACACGTTGGATGAGATCCTAGATCTTGCGACCAATGATGATGCTAAACATAAAGTGATTCAACTTGGGTTGATGAAAATCAAGGATGAAGTGAGAACAGTTCAATCAAGTAGTGCGAGTAATGTGCCATGTAGTAGTACTTTACCACCTTCAAGTAGTACTTTACCACCTTCCCATACTTCACCAAAAAGTCCGCCTCGTATCAATACTACAAAAGAGAGCATGACTCGCAACGTACGAAGTCCTTTGGTTGCTCGCTGAAGAGGCCGTCCATGTACGAAACGGAAGGTTAGCAAGGTTGATGCAATAGTCAATCGGTTGAAGGGAAAAAATAAGAAGGTGCGTCAAGGTGAACCTCGTATGTATGAACCGGTATGTGTTAAATATGAAGGTTGTTTGGGGTTTTCTATTTTGGCTTCTAATTTTACTGCTTGAAATTAGTAATTTACTTGTGTTACTATTTCATCATTAGGTGCCGCGAAGTCAACATTACTATCGTCCTTCTGTGGATGCCATAGCAGACCATTTCCTTGTCCCCGTATGTGTTCAATGGACTCAATATATTCCACTTTGTTTGTGGAATTTTTTTTTTATTATTTACTTTATTTTTACAGGCACCAGTTACCACAAGTGGGGACGACATTGGGAGCACATCTCACCAAGAAGCTGGAATGGTCAACAATATTAGCAGTGAAAGATCGATAGTACCGCCATATTTTGTTGACTTAAACATCGACGAGGATCCAAATCTCCCATTTTTTTTAGTTTCGAAGTGGTAATTGTACGTGAATTTCGTTTGTAAACTTCCGATTGTTCACTTGAATGTCCCATATGTTTGAGTTAAATAAATTGAATGTCCCATATTTTTGAGTTGAATGATTTGGAAATTTTTTGTTATTCTTAGAAATGGTTCTATAGTGCTTGTTGATTATGTTAGTCACTATGATTCTCAAGCAAATTCTGTACAAATGGTTCTGTACAAATGGTTTTGTTAGTCAGTATGAGTGTCATAATGTTTCTGTAGAAATGGTGATTGAGTGAACTCTGCAAATCTGTTGCTGATTGAATGAATTCTGTTACCAATGGTCTCTATTAGCAATGAATTCTATTGCTGAGGAAGTGGTCTCTGCAAATCTGATTTGAGTCTGGCTGCCCAAATCTGTCCTGGTTTGTTCTGTTCTGAGTTGCTGATCTGGTCTACTCTTGGAGGTGAATCTGTTCTGATGTGTTCTGTATTGGCTGATCTGATCTGATCTGGTCTACTCTTGGAGGTAATTGCTAGTTTATTTGATGATCTGTTGTGCATTGGCTGATCTGATCTGATCTGCTGATCTGATTTTAGTTTATTTGCTGACCTGATCTAAGTTGCTGATCTGTTCTGCATTGGCTTGATCTGGTGTGTTAATCTGAGTTGCTGATCTGGTGTGTTAATCTGGTTTAGTAGAGCTGTTCTGCATGTGTTGTGTTTTATATCAATAACTAGGATAATGTAAAAAACAGAACTTTCTGTTTTTTTATAATGAAATCACTGTCAATAATCTTCCTTGTGACTGATATCTGTGACATATTATAGTCTATCCCCGGGGTACCCAAAATCAAAGATAGTGTTAATACTGCTACATGGATGCCACAGGTCACTGGTTCTTCAGTTGAGGCACAACTTGGTGTGGATTTTGCAGAAATCTTTACCAAATCTGATTTGTATCAGTACGTAGAATATAACAATCTAACCTTAATAGTCCCTCCTGTTGTGTCCTCTGTGCTGAATGATCCATATGACAGTATTTTTTAAGTTGGTACAGGTTGGTTCCAAGTGCCACATGAAGATATAAAATAATTGAGAAACATGCAATATATTGGTCTTTTCTGAGCACAATTCCCATCCAACATGCCTCTTTGCAATGTCATTAAAGGAGAAGTCACAAATGAAGAATGAAGAAAACTGTTGTTTCTTACATGCATAGCATAAACCAAGATGAAGTGCAACCTGTTATACACATTGTCAACAAATTTCACACATTGTCAAGTTCAACCTGTTATACACATTCAACCTGTTAATCATTCAAGAAATGGCCCTATTCATTCAACAAATTGCATACATTGTCAAGTTCAAGCTGTTCAACCTATTTTACACATTCAACCTGTTAATCATTCCAGACCCTGTTATTCATTCAACAGATTTTTCCAAGACCCTGTTAATCATTCAAGAACCTGTTAATCAACAGATTTCATGCAAAGTTCATAGCATCATATTTGAACCTTCAACCTGTTAATACACACTGTTAACAACACTGTTAAGCACGCACTGTTCTTTTTTCAAACCATCACATATAATTTGAAATGTTAAGCAACCAACATAACTCAACAGATTTCACACACTGTGCATTCAACAGATTTCATCTGAAACAAACCTGTTATACACTTGTTTTTTCAAAACATCAGATTTTTAAGCACCAAAAAAAAATACAAAACAAGTAGAAAAGTCGATTACAGCCACAGCATGTTCCAAAACCTAACAACTGAGTCATTTACATGATAAAGTACAAAAATACACAAAATACAATTACATAAGTCATTCCCTTGAAAATTTTCTCCATCCGTTGAAGCCTTCTATCATGCTCACCAACCCTTCTCCTCAGATCATTTATTTCTTCTGTTGTTGAATGTGTCCGAGGTCTAGCATTGGCACGGATTGTGGAGGTAATGTCGTCGTCGTCGTCATCATTTGCGAACCACCTGAAGTAATTGCAGTGTTCATTCCTAGTCTACAATGGACAAGAATCAGTTACTCAATAAAGGACAAATCAATTTTGTAAAAAGTAATAGATTCATTTATATAACAGGTACTTACATATTTTCTTGGGCAAACAAAATAGACACGTCCTTGATTTCCATTCTCATTGCTTTCTACAATACGTATGGAAGCTACTCTTCCACAATTACAATACCTTGGCTTTAATCTCATGTCCGTATTATTAGTAGAAGATGAAGCCATTTTTTTATCTGCGTAACAAATACCAACAGATTCAACTAACGATTAGTAGAAGATGACGATCTTCCTATTTATTTTATCAACAATGCTAGAAGGTTGAGACTTGGGCTTTGAGAGTAAATTCCAATTGAAATTTTTGATGACGTTCAGTAATTTCCCTGATTTTCTTACATCATACGTATTTAGTGCTTGTTCTTCCTATTTATAAGCACTTGAACAGCACTTTTTGATTAACTAACCAATGCCCAAAAAGTTGAAACACAAGTCACGATGTTATATTTCCAGCATAATTACATAAAAGAATGAAATGAAAGGCCTCATACCAAACTTGACACTAATAGATCAATCGAAACAAATTATCCCAACAAAAATCTTAAGAAATCCATTACTTGTTTCGCTGAGCTTAGAGAAGAGAATTGTTCCAAGGTGTGCAGTTTAGCAAGTATTGCTATCAAAAGGTTTCATTAACAGCAACAATATTAGCTTGTCAACTATGCTGAAGTTTAGAGAAATGTTGTTCTTAAAGAAGTTTTTGATCTGTCATGTGGAACAAGCTCCTGAGCTATTGAAATTGTATAGGGAAAAGTTGGCTCTTGCAAAGTAACTAGGATATAGGTAGGATGTCTTCTTTTGAAACCAACTCAACATACAGTTGGAATGTTCTTTTGTTTCTCCTGGTTGAACTCTGTTATTGAATTATCTCATTTTGAATACAATGTGGCAATAAATTAAAATTAGTTATCTGTAAGCAGGTTCGTGTTCGTGTTCTCTTTTCATCTAGGTAATTATGTATTTTGTATTTTGTTTATACATTACCATGTTGTAAGCAGGGGGACCTATTTCCTTTTCTAAGGTTTACCTTGATTCATATATTCATGATGTCTGCTTCAACTGTGAAATCTTAAGACTCAATTTGCTACAGTTTTCATTGATCGATACTATAAATTTTACTACAGTTTTATTTATAATGAAATCCTAATTATGTACTAATGAAATCTTAAGACTCAATTTGCTAAGCTTAGAGAAGAGAATTTGCTGAGCTTAGAGAAGAGAAAATCTTAAGACTCAACAAAATTTAATTATGAAGAGAAAGTTTGCTTAAAATAAGGGTTGTCATTTACAAGGCTTGTGACAAGCCTTATGAACAAAATTTTAAGCCTTTTAAATGAACAAAATTTATTCTCAAATAAAGATAAAACAAGGCTTGTGAACACAGAATTTATTCTCAAACAAAGATAAAACAAGATTTAATTTCGTTCATTCAAATCTGGTTTATGTCTGGCTGCCCAAATCTGGTTCATAACCTTCATTCCGTAATTCCTGTGTTAGGGCTTTGAGAAGTCATTTAAATTTCAATTTTTCAACATACACAGTGTGCAGAATGTGAACACGGAGTATAAAGGCAAATCCCAAACCCTAACTTTGAAGGCAAATCACAGATTTCATTCTTACCTCAGATTTGTTGTCGCAGGCTCCCGTTTGTCCTCCGTCGTGGTTCGTCGTCCTCCATCCTCCGTCGTGGTTCGAACTCTTTCAAGAGACAGGTGAGAGAGGTGAGAGTGAAGAGGTAGAGAGGAGAGAGGGATGAGGCGAGAGTGAGAGAGAGGTTTGTTGAGAGTAAGAGAGGTGAGAGAGGCGAGAGTGAACTGCTAAGAGGGGAAAAGATCGAGAGGAGAGAGAAATTCAAACTTTCGAGCCATTCGAGCCCGAAACATTCGAGCTACGAGTCATTTTCCATAAACAAAATTGAAAGACTATAAATGTAATTTAAGTAACCTCAATGTGGTACATTTCGGCCTACATCATTCTTTCTATATTTTATTATTCAGAAAATATGTATATATTTAAATTTAAAATTAGTAGGGAAAAAAATAGGAAAAATTGGTCTAATATCCTTCTCCAACTTTTGATAATGGTAGAGGTCCACAATAATTCTTTTTGTATTCTAAGGTTCCTCACATATACCCATATATAACACCAACTTTTTCATTCTCTTTCATCTTTTATCCTTCTACCAAAGAACCCCTCTCTCGCTCAATCTAGAGTTTGATACAGAAACAGAGCAATCCACATTTTCCTCTTTTCACTAAAACTTCCATCTCCGGCAGTTCTCTTCCGATAGTACTGCCCGGGTGAAAGAGAAGAAGGACACGTGGTGCAAGGAGTCGATAGAGAAGGTTCGGAATATTGTCTAACTTATCGCGAAAGTGATCGAACGTCGCTACGGTCCTCAGATCGGCCAAACCCTAGCTCCGAGTAGTATTTTCTAGAGAGCAACCTAATATTACTTCTCTCTACGAAGCTATGCTTCAGTGATCCGAAATTGGTTGCCATTTTTTTGTCCTTATCTACTTTTTCAAAGCATCAAAAATAGGAACAATATTGAAGAATACTTACTGTACTTGGAAAGGGTATCATGTATGATTTTTTGATTGTTTGGTTATTGAGATTATGTTGAAATTTTCAGAAATGTAAAAAATGATATTTTTTAGCCTTTGGGTTGTTTTTGCCAGAGAAATTTCAGTACTCTGTGTGAGAAATTTGTGCTAAAATTTCTCTGGTATGGTTAATTTTCTCTAGATAAATAGAGGGATTTGAATGTTGATCTAGAGAAATTTGATATTAGTCTAGAGAAATTTGAATGTTAGTCCAGAGAAATTTGTGAAAGGTTCAAAGGTTTTTGATGTTAATCCATAGATTCAGAGAAATTTGAATGTTAGTCTAGAGAAATTTGAATGTTAGTCTAGAGAAATTTGAATGTTATTCTAGAAAAATTTGTGAAAGGTTCAAGAGTTTTTGATGTTAGTCCAGAGATCCAGAGAAATTTGATGTTAGTCCAGAGAAATTTGAATGTTAGTCCAGAGAAATTTGTGAAAGGTTCAAGGATTTTTTATGTTAGTTCAGAGATCCAGAGAAATTTGATGTTAGTCTAAAGAAATTTGAATGTCAGTCCAGAGAAATTTGTGAAAGGTTCAAGGATTTTTTTATATTAGTTCAGAGATCCAGAGAAATTTGGTATTAGTTCAGAGAAATTTGAATGTTAGTTCAGAGAAATTTGAATGTTCAAGGATTTGAACCTAGAGAAATTCTTTGGGAAGTCCAGAATTTCTCTGGATAAAATTTCTTTGGGAAGAATTTCTCTGACTTGAAATTTCTCTGGCTCAATGTTGAAGAATCTTAGACATTATAAAAATATTAAATGTCTTTTATACTATAAAATTTTAATATCAATGACCCTAAAAAAAATTCCCAAAAAATAACAAAAAACTTGTAATCACGAGGCTTACCGAGGAGCGGGCCTACCGAAACCCAAAACAAGGACCCATGATGCACAAAACAAAGTCCTTTAGGCTATGTTTTATGGGCTTAAAATAGGCCCATGATGCACAAAACAAGGACCCAAGCATAAAGATGTCTTGGTTGACGCCCCAACATTTCATTCAAGCTTGAATCATGTATGAATTTGATACTCGAAACAAAAATGTTAGAAAAATATAAATAAAATATAAGTTAATTTTTTTCTATTTCTTTTATTTTTTTAATTTTTATTAAAATTGATGATCCAAATACAACTTTAAGAGTGGCATAATCCACGCTACAAATTTGTCATCATTTTTTTCTGTTTAGATTGCAATACGAGAAAATACAAAAAATTATTATAATCTCTTATCTAGATGAGTAAAGAAAATAAATAATTATATTTTCTCACCATTATATTAGAATAAATAAGAAAATAAATATGATATAAAAATATGAATGATATTTTATTTTATTTAATATTTTAATGGACATTATGGTAT